TTAATACACACCCACTGCCACGTGGAACTGGTAAAATCGGAATAAGGTAGCTGGATTCTCCCAATGCCATTTACGGGCTGTGGACACTACATGCTATGCAAGGCACTGTCATGATGGGAAATTGGGTAGAAGTTACACAGGCGCGCTGCATTGTATTTTACAAGTGCATGTGAATCTATAATTATCTCAAAATAAAGGGCGTTTTTAAAAAAGATATAAACTGTCTAGACAGTTATCAATCACTAAATTTTATTTGGAACCAGTAAAGAAAACTTTCGTCACTTTCTATCCCCTTCGGGACCTACAAAGGGTCTACACTAGTGAAGGCAGGATCTGAGCTTTCACAAAGCAGACTATCCCAGGCTCCAGGGTGGCCCTGAGGGGCCCAAGGAACCAAACCATCCCACCTTCCACCTTTTCAAAGCCTGCATGTACCATGGGTTTAAAGAGGTAAAATGAAATGCATACTCCTATGCTTATGAATACTTAAGATGTTTATAAAATGAGGTTAAATACTTTCACTCTCCTAAGTCAACAAAAGTCACCAGAGGAGGAAGTTTCATGGAAATGCTGTGATGTGAGTGGGAAGAGTCAGGTCCGGCTGCTAAAGCACCACGGCAGAGGCCGGCTCCTCCGTCTGCAGGGCCCGCTAGTAGCCATGCTTAAAAAGTAAAAAGAAACACGTCAGATTAACATCAAAAGTACATTTTTACTGAATGGCCAACAAACACATGAAAAGATACTCAACATCACTAATTCTTGGGAAACACAAATCAAAGCCATAATGAGATACCACCTCACATCCATCGGGATGGCTATGTCAAAAAGCCCAAAATAACCAATGCTGGTGAGGACGTGGAAGAACTGGAACCCTGTGCACCGCTGGCGGGAATGTAAAACGGTGCAGCCACATTCCTCAAAAACACAAACCAGAACTAGCCTATGACCCAGCAATCCCACTGGGAACATGCCCAAGAGAAGTGAGTGCAGGATCTCGAAGAGACATTTGCACACCTTTGCTCTTAATGACATTATTCATGACAGTCAAGAGAGGGAACCAACCCAAACGTCTGGCGACGGATGGACGGCTGAAGAAACTGTGGTCTCCACACGCCATCCAGCCTTAAAGGAAGGGAATTCTGACAGCTGCAAAACGGGTGACCCCGAGGGCATTATGCTGAGTAAAATAAACCAGCTACAAAAGGACAAATTCTGCAGGATCCCATTTAATAGAGGAACCTAGAAGAGTCAAAATCAGACACCGATAAAACGCAGGCTGCCAAGAACTGGGGGGAGTGGGAAGTGGGGAGTAACTGTTTAATGGGCATCGTTTCAGTTTACAAGATGAGTAAGTTTTGGGAATTGGTTGTACAACAGTGTGAATTTACTTTTAACACTACCGAACTGTACACTTAGAAAAGGTTAAGATGATAAATTTTATGAGATTTTTTACCCCAATGACTTTTTTTTTTTTTTTTTTACATTTTATCCATTGTATCCAAAATATCTCAACATATATTAGTATGAAAATGACTGGGGCTATTATTTCACCCTCTTGTTCACGTATAAGCCTGAAATTCCCACGTGAACTGACACTGACAGTACATCTGATGGGGACTAGTCCCGCCTGAAGGTTCAAAGGTTCAATGCCACCCGGGCTCCCTGCCAAGCCTGTGCTGAGCTAGACCTTCCCTGTCGCCGCTACATATCTGGAGGGTCTTTTCCTTGGACAGGTGACTGCGCTCAGGAAGCTCTTTGGTGGCTATAGGCAAAGCCTGAAGGCCTCTGAACGTCTCCTGAGCATCTGCCTCCCTCTGCCAGGCCCTCAGGACCTGCAGAACATCGTGCCTCCTCGCCTCAGAGCTCACACACCGAGAGAGGGGCGCGAGCAGGACCCTGAAGGACACAGAGAACACAGCTCCAATGTGCCGGGGAGGAGTGTGAATGTGAAGTCATTTACCCAAGTGACACGTGGGAGTGAAGCACTAGCTTTCACCCCTATCCTCACCTTTCTCAACTCGGACTTTCCACAGTACTGACTACACCTTCAAAGCGTGACTCCGGACAGCACTGAGTGCACGATGTGTGTGAAACACATCTGGTGAAAGTGTGCGCAACAGGAAAGGCACTCAGCCACCAGCAGCCGCCAGCGGCTTTGATTAAAATCATCATTCTTCCCCGAGAGAGCATCTGGCACTTTGTCCTCCCGGGGTGAAAGGAGGCTAAAACTTGGTCAAGTGAAAAGTGATCTCCCACAGATATTCTGTGAACGTAGCGTCAGAAAACGACTCGGAGATGTGGAGGAAAACGTGAAGGTGTTGCTAGCTGCTGTGCGTCCCACACGGAAGGCACTTTCTCAGTAGAACAAGATGCAGGAACAACACTAATATACGCTGTCCTCCACCCCGTGTCTCTGAGCAAAAACCATCTACGGACATGGGTGCCCCTGGCTAAGGAGAGCCCTCCCATAACCTCACATTCGTGCCCCGCTGGTGGAAAATGACCACAAAGGCGTCTTTGTGAAAAACGTATTTTGCAATACATTATCAAAAGCTTCATTGACAATCTTAATGGATGTGGTTGAGTAAGGAACAGTGACTATGGCCCTAAAGAAAAGAACCAAGTCTACCAACTCAGCAAATGTCAGTGGCCTTCAGGAACCGAACTATTTCACCAACATCCAGGAAAACGTTCTGGACCACAAAGATGTGATTCCACGGGACGGACCCTCCTATCTCACTGCCCTCTTCTCCTACCCACCCCCAGAGCTCCCCACCCCCGCTCAGCCCCCTCCTCAGCTAATCTCCCAAAAACTAATCCTGAAAACTTACCTTGGTATGTTAACTTCAGACAAACTCTTTATAACTCATCATTTAATCCCATGCATTCTGTCGCCACACCCATCTACTGAAGTGTCGTTACTATGAAATTACACCTCAGGATCCATCACTGTACTTCCAGGTGTAACCACAAGTTTGCTTAATAACTGAGATTGTGATCTATAAGGCCCTCCATCTGTCACCTCAAGTAACGGTGCGAATACCTTGTCACTAGCTTGCTAAAGAATATGTCACCCAAAAAGCCATCATGCCACCCTTACACTAAAAAGTACACTAACTGGCCCATACCCGGTTAACAGGGAGAAGGAACTATTCCTGCGCATGAAGCCACCACCTGCAGAGACTGGTTTGGTCTGCAGTGAAACACTGTAACAGCTTCTGGAGGCTCCTTAAACCCATAGGTTGTTAAACACACACTCCACTGAGCCCTGTGAATTCACTTAGTGAGCAAGAAAGCTGTGGGCTCATGTACTCAGGATTATTTTCATGGGCAGAAACACATTTGCAAGCACCAAGAACTTCTAAGGTTGAAATGAGTTCAGGAGCCGTACCAACAGCAATAACGAAAGGCACAGCAGTAATAAAATCTCTGGCTCCTTCTCCTGAGGAGGGGTCCTAATAAGGCACGGTGGTCGCGTGGTGCCCTGGGGGATTGGTCTCAGGACTCCCGTGGACACCAAAACCCATGCACGCTCCAGTATTCGCAAGCAGGTGACAGCGAGGCATGCCTGTGCATCGCTTCATGCGCACGGATTCAGAGCCACGTTCGGCACAGATGGCAAATTCGAGTTTTGCTTCTGGGAACCTGCTAAGTTTTTCTCCCGGCTCAGCCCCCCAAATACTTTCCATCTACAGTTGGTGACTCCTCCCTGCATATGAAGCCCGTGGATACAGAGGGCCGACTGTATCACTCAGCGTTAGCACGAGACATGCAGGCAAATGTAGCTGTTGCTGGTTTTGTGACTTGTGCCTGCCACGCCCCCAGGGTGCACATCCTCTGACAAGTGGCCAACCCTCTAAGCCTAGAGGGTCTTTCTCTCCCTGTGACATGGGGACAGACCTACACAGTTCTCACCTCCCTGAAGGTTATGAAGACCGAGACCAACAGAATTTGCAAATCCAGATTTGTCACTGTCCTCTAGCAGTTAAGAATCTCCTCTGGTGACTTTGTGTCACTTATGTTTCAATAGAATCAATACTCAATTTCTTAATCGATAAACGCTGCCAACCTGCTCGTATCTGGTCAAAGCAGGAAGGACTAATCTGGAGCAGACGGAAAGGAGAACCAGCTGAACCCTGATGAAGGAACGAGCCTTTCCCATCAGTGGGGGACAGCGATTTGAACCCACACACTCACCACGCCCTTGCTGCCTGGACTCAAAGCCACAGGCCAAGGGTGAAGGGTCTAATCAAGCTTATAGCTGCCAATGTCTAAACATCAGGACATTTGACATCAAATCTGAATCCTTGCATTATCTTACAAGAAAGCCCACCAAGACCACACCCCCCCAGGGCCACAAGTGGGGGGGGGGAGGGGAAAGGCTCTCCAGTTTACCCTAATCCCACCAGGTCAGCTTCCTCGCCGCTGGTACTGCCAGCTGTTTCTCAGCACTGATTGCCACTCCTGGTTCAGACCCTAAAACTGCCTTTCATCCCTGAAAATAAAAACCCATAATCGAATCTCACCAGGACCACGTTAAAACTCTCTGAGCCAACAAAATAAACGCAAAGAAGAATCTGAACAGAAAACAGCACGTTCATGGCTCTGTGCTGGCACTGACTATAGGTCAGTTTGTTTCATCTCTTCACACCTCTGGCTATGTTACGCTCCCTGCTGTAACTGGCTTGAGTCCTTCCCAAGTGGAATGTCATTAATAAGTAAATCTTAGTGACGAGAACTCGCCATGTCACACGGTGACAGCAGCAAAAGGACTCCAGCTTTGCTGCCCAATAAGCTGATGCTTGGACCTCAACCTCTTGCTGCCACCAAACCTGGTGGTATTTTTTTAAACGCTGGTGTGATGTCCTGACACCTCCTCCATTCCTATCAAGATATGGAATAAGTCAGTGATTCTAAAACGGGCTGTAAATGCCACACTCAGCCTCTCAGTAGATAGTCAAACAGCCACAAGTCCACTGCCCTTCCCCAGAACTGCTTACCCATTGCATTGAGATAATGGTTGAAGGCCTGGCAAGGAGGACTCGGGGTTTGTGTTGATTTGTCACAACTCATGGGTGCTGGGCTCCTGTCTGTGTCAAAAGAGAAATACCCACTGGAGGATCGAGACAGCAGGGAGGATCTTCTCACAAAGATGAAAAGCGGGGATCTGGTAGCAAAAGGCCCAGGGCTGGCCGGTGGGGCCAGCGGGCCCTGAGGGCTGCCGTGGGGGCAGCGGTCCCCTTCGCCTTCAGGATTACCTTGTGGCTCTATCTGTACAGAGCTGGGGGCCCCAGGCCTGAGCTGAGGAGGCCTCTCCGTGGGCTGTAATTGTCCACCTTCTCTGTCACACTCAGAACTTACATCAGAAGGTTGCTTGGCCATTTGGTCTTTTTTTCTGCAAGTAAAATAAAAACTAAGATTACCTTAAGCAAAATCATCACAACAAAATAACTAAATTAGCTAATTTTCATGTACTCCTTAGAAATTAAGAAATACTTCAACAGTAAGTATATTTCTCTGCCTATCTTCCAGATAAGAATAAAAACACGTAAAATAACAAAGGCGTTATTATTTGTGTTGGGGGCATTAACCTTCCTGCCACCAAACAAAACACACTGACAACGTCTATGCGGGGCTGGTGCTGGAACACAGATTCAAGCTTTGGGGGAGGCAGCGGGTCTGAAGCCTATTCACAGGGCTCTGCTCAGAGCCCACTGGACTAAGCCAGAACCTCCCGGGGACTCTGATTCCTTGGTTCCCAGGACTAGACCCTGCGCTTGGGGCACAGAAGTGCGCGCAGAGGCAGCAACTGCAGCCGGCTGGCCGCGCTCCCCGCTCTGGCCCCATTGTTCTGCCGAAAGTGCTGAGGGCAGCAAGTCTGGGGAGCTTTGGCAAGGGCCGTCCGTCGTAGTAAGTGCGTCACAATAGAGTTTGTAACTCTGAGCCGCTCGGCCCGCTCCGCTCCCGCCCGCCCGTCCGAGGTCCTTCCCGCGGGGGCAGCGCAACGCACCCACCCGGCAAAACTTTCCGCAAGTCCACCCGCACTGTTAGGTGAGCACCTCCAAATAGGGGGTCCCCGAAGCTGGCCCCGGACGCCCCGACAAGTTAACAGTAACCCCGCGCCCTAGGCGACCCGGGGCGCGCGGCTCCTTCACCCTTAGATCCTCCCTCTCCCCACGAGCAAGCTAAAACTCACGTCCGACCCTTCCCTGCCGAGCGTCGCGTCCGGGCCCGGGCCCCGCGGCGTCGTGCGCGCACCCTTCGCCGACCCGGAGCCCCCAGACCGTCACCGCGAAGGCGGCGCACCAGACAAAGCCAGGGACCCGCGCTCAGAGGCCGCGGGGCGGCGCAGAGCCCGCAGCTGGCCGCGTGCCCACTGCCGCGATCCGCTGGGCCGCCCAGGGTTCCACGCGCCGTGCCTCTGTCCCGCACCGCCCCGGCCGCCGCCGCCGGGAACATCCTCCCCTCGGCCGCTCCTCCCCTCGCGCACTGCGCCCGCCGCCGCCGGCTCTGCCGCCTCCCCGCGCCGCTGGCGCCGGTGCCCGCGCCCCCAATTGGCCCGCGCGCGCACGCTCCGGGCCCCAGCCAATCGCCAGCCCCGGTAGGGGCGGCGCCTACCGGCTAGGCCGCCAGAGGCCAAGCGATTGTTGACAAATTCGCCTCCGCGCGCGGCGCGGGCCACGGCGGGGACGATGGCTCCCAGGACTCTGGTCCCCTGCGGACCGGCTACCCGGCCTACCCCTCTGCCCGTTCCAACGCCGCGCGCGCCTCAGCGGCTCCCGCCGTCCAGAGGAGCCGGCCACCTAGGTCCTAGGAGACAAAGCAAGAGCCGCAGGCAGTCCTCCGACTCTGGTCCTCGCCGCTGGCCGCCGCCTCCCCCCGCCCCCGCTCAGGTCCGTCCCCTCCCCCGCCGCTGCACTCATCCTTTCCAACTTCCTCCCTCTTCCACCCCGAGAGCCGTGGTCAAGCACCAAATCCTAGTGGCCAGCCCGAGGGCAGGGCACCTCTAGCAGCACCGCGAAGAGTCGGGCTGCGCTTGGGCACGCCCGAGTCGCTAAGACTACCCGACCGGCCCCACGGACGGAGCAGGTTTGCTGCCCGCGCTCGTCCACCGTGTGGCCCCGGTGGTGGAGGAGGAGGAGGTCTTGGTCTCTCGCTGTCCTTGGCTCGGGAGCCTGGCAGGTCTGCAGAGCGATCGCAGACGGGACAGGGACCCGAATGCGTCCGAGAGCGTGAACGCGGCGGCTGCCCCGAACCCTCGGCCTGATGTGCACAAGAAAAGCCGAATCTCATCAATTAGTCCCCAGCACAGCTCTGCAAATCCCCGGCATCGAGCCGCACACCAAAGACCGGCTCCTATCGCTCGACCCGCGACTTCCCGGCCGGGCGCTCAGCTCACACGGCGCAGCGGCCTCGGTTCCCGGGCCGGCGCGGGGAACGCGCGCTGCTTCTCCAGCGGCCCAAGACGCTGCACCACCGCGCGCGCCGCATCACGGTCGGGTCCATAGTTCCACTAAGCACTAGCAGACTCCTGGAGGACAACATCTCCCCAAAATGTGAACCTGCCTTGGGAGAGGACCCGACCCGCTCCGATCGCCACTTCCCGCCGGGCTACAGGCGGGACTGGGCGTGTGTCTCGGCCAACACGTGCGCGGGAAGCGGGTAGGAGGTGAAACGTGTGGCTCCGGCGCCCGTCATCCACGCGTCCCGCCCCCGCCCGGGAATCCGGAGGTATTTACCTTGCGTTTCTCAGTCCGAGAGTCAGAGTCAGACATTGGGGGGGCGCGGGCCAGGGGAAGGCGCTGAGTTTGTGGCGGCGGGGACGGGGTGAACCGAACAGCCCCAGGCAATGCTGGCCTCAGTGGGCAGGGCGCGCCAGACGTCTGAGAGGACCCGGCGGCAGCGGTAGCGGCGATACGGATCGGAGCGGTCAGAGGAGCTCAAGACCTGGAGGCGGCGCGGAGCGAAGTGAAACCTGCGCGTTTGTGCAGCCCAGCTCCGCGCTCGCGGCCTTGCACCCGCGCCCAATCACTGTGGGCCCCGCCCCCGCCAAGGCCCGCCCCGCTCCGCCCTGTCGTCCCACCCCCTGGCGCTGCGTACCCGGGGGCGCCAGCCGGGCAGGTAAAGGCGGGGCCGCTGGCCGGTTCCCGCTGCGCGCGCCGCCCGCCCAGACCCAGCCGGGAGAGTGTTTGCCGAGTGACTCAGGCTGCAGGCCGCCGGGAGTGCACCCTTCCCCCCACCCCAAGTGCTTCTTCGACTCTCTCCCGCCCGGTGGCGGCCGCGCTGTGCGCGTGGAACAGAGGGGGCGCTCCTGGCACAGTGAGCCCTCCGGGCCGCTTGCTGCAGCCCGCGGAGTCTCAAGAGGCGGCCCAGAGCCCTGGACTCGCTGCTGGAGTTTCTCTTAGCCGCTCTGGGGCGGGCGCGAGGATGGGTTGGACCCTAAAACGCGCGGGGCCACGGTGGACAAGGGCGTCTCTACGCAATCCCCACTCCCAAGAGTCAGGTCCTCGGGCCGGACTCGATATTCCGGCTGCTCATCTTCCTCTGGGGCGCCCTGCTCATGCCACCTGCTGGGCTACCCAGCCTTTCTCCCGGGCCACACCTCGGCTAAGTGGTGGAGCCATTAGTGGGCAGAAACCAGAACAGAGCGCCGAGCGATCCCCAAAGCCTCTTTCTGCAGCGCGGTAGCGAGACGGGAAGCGAGCGTGCACCGAGCAGGTAAAATAAGGAAATGAAAAAGTAACTTAAAAAAAAAATCCTTTTAAGAAAAATAATAAAAAGGACCAAGAAGAGCTATAGTCTCCAGGTGAGAGAGAGGGTGGTGCCTCCGTCCAATTGGGATCCTCAAGGACTTTTGGGCTCAGGGAACTGTCCCTCGGCTTGCTGAGGCCGGTCGGTGTAGGCGGCCGCGGGGTTCCAGCCTGCATGGGGAGCGCAGTACCTCCAAGCCCCTCTGCCTGAGCACCTTCTCCCCTTCCTTCTTGGAATCCGAGATCCCACCCCTCTCCTTCCCGTGCGCCTCCCGTGTTTCTTGGGGTCCGCACCTCCATCTGTCCTTCCGGAGCACGTCCTGCGCGCCCCTCCCTGAGCTCCCCAGGCTTTGAGACTCGCGATTTGGTGTAAGGTCGGTCCAGAGAAGGAATAGCTCTCACCGCGGGGAGCCCAGGCTGGACGGATTAAAGAAACTCAATTTAGGGGCCGCTGGAACCAGCACCCCCGATAGTAAAGGGAGGGTCCTCGGTATTGTCTCGCTCTTTGGCCACTTGGGTCAGTTTTTATTTGTGAGCAATACAGAAGGGCACCGTGACAGCACAGCCCCAGATTAAAGTCTCAGTGCATCCTCGGGCAAGTCCTGAGCGAGTGATGCAGGGGGGTGGGGGTAGGTTTCCCTGCAGAAGGGTAAGGACAGGCGTGGACGTGGCCAGGGGGACGCAGAGGCCGGAGGTCTATCCTGACCGCGATTTGGAGCTTCTGCTCAGGATTGTAGGTAGCAGCCGCGGGCGAGCTTTGCGCGGTAACCGCTTGGCGTGGCTCGGGGAACCAGTCATAGAACCGGCTACTCCCGCCAGGAACCCCAACCCACCCCGCTCCCAGGTGCTCCGGGCCTGAACAAGGCAGGTAGGGGCCGGGGAAATCAATCAATCAAACAAACAAACAAACAAACAAACAAACACAAAACGCACCATGCAGCTCCACCACGTCCTCGCTGCCCACTCTAGCAACCCGATGAACACTTTAAAAAACAAAGGCAGGAGGAAAGCAACCTATTAGGTGCTTTTATCCGGCACACAGCCTGAAGGTTGGCCAGAAGGCGGCTGTTTAGTTCACCCAGACTGTGCTTGGGGAGTTTGGGCGAGGGCCCCGGGCGCGCCGGTGGCTGGCAGCCCTTCCCGCCCAGTCCCGCAGCATCCAGCGGTCCTCCTGAACCCGGCCAGAGGAGGGGCAGCGAGAGAAGGGTGTTCGGCACGGATGGCGCTCTTGTGGACACGGGCGGATCGGAGCGGAGCGGAGCCTGCTCCACGACTCGTGGAGCGGGAGGGCGGAGGGTGGCTTTAACAGAAAGGGCCGCGGGCACCTGAGACACGGGGAATCCGGCCCTCGCCAGGCACCTGGGAGTTGCCAGGGTGGTCTCTCCAAATTCCGAAACCTACTTACTGCGGTGCATTGCCCGCTCGGCCACCCCACCCTTCGCAAGCCGCAAGATAGCCTTCGCGTCGCTTCATTTCTTTATTAAACGTGGAATCTGCGCTTCTAGAGAACATAGTACAGTTGCCCTTGGTGAAAACGTTTTCCGCGCGCTGTCCTGCCGCCGGGTGCCGCGGGACTGGGAGGACCGCTGAGCCGGTGCTCGGAGCGCCCAGCGCAGGCTCCCGTCAGCCGCACATTTCCTCGCGGAGCCGGGGAGGCTCTGACTCACTGGAGCAGCTTTGCTCGCTGAGCTGAACTTCTGCCCGCGGGTGTTTGATTTCCGCGCTTTGATTTTTTTTTCTACTCAGCACCACAGTTTTTCAAAATCACTGGGAATCTTAGGCACCGCTGCCAGCGGGAGACCGTGGGTTGCACCAGCCGTGGGGGTTCCCCCGAAGCTGGAGAGGTGGCATGGGTGGTCGGGTAACAGGGAGAGGGCGCAGCACTGCGTGCACCCCCTTTCAGACAGCCCGGGGAGTCTCGCCAGCCTTGCCGGGACGGGGCTCCGTGGCCCGGCCTCTGCTCCAGCTCAGAGTCAGAGAAGCAGTGTGGGTGGCAAGTGAACCACCAATCCTGCCCCTGCATCCGCTGCAACCTGGCTCTGGGTGTGGGCCCCCTAGAGCGCGCCCTTTCCTGGGCCTGGGGCTGCTGCAGCCCAGGGTAGAAGGCCCAGGTGGCCCGGGGGTTGGCGATTCCCGCGATTGCGGTGCAGATAGGTGTGCGGAATGGTAGAGGCAGAGATCACCCTCAGGCATCGTCCTTCACGGGGTCACACAAGCCCAGCAACTGCAAAACAGGACGCAAAGGAACAGGTCAGATGCTGGCTCACTCACAGTGGCTGGACGCCCACCCCCAGCAGCCGGATTTCCTGGGACCAGGAGGGTAAATACCTTCGATTTTGAATAAGCCTTACAACTTGTTCACAAGCCTTTTTCATCTTAGGAATTCTTAACTCGGTGACACCTAGGCTGGCAGAAGCCCACTTATTCCTTAAAAGGGCGGGGGTGGACTCCAAATCAGCTGGGAGCTCCAGACCAGAGACTGAGAATTTATCCCCCCCTCCCCCTCTGCCCACTCCTGCAGCCCTCCTCCTCCCTCGGGTCCCCTCCATAGTGCCTGGAGTGCCACCCTCTGGCGCTCACAGGCAAGTGAACTGGTAGAACTTTAGAGCCATTGAACTTCAGAGGCCAGCTGGGTTCTCCCCAGCAGCACGTCCCTCCCCGAGCCCCACCTCCACCTCCCGTGTCTCCCCCTATGTCCACCTCCACCCCTAGGGTGGCAGCAGGCCACAGCTCCTAAAATGCCAAGCAGTGGTTGACTGCTGGGGGGGGGGGGGGGGAGGGGCGGGATGGGCATTGGCAAC